ATTGGTGGTTTACAGGAGAAGAATGTCTTCTATTTGCTCTGTATTAGTGACAAGAGGAAATGGCCTCAAGTTGCACCAGGAGAGGTTTAGATCAGATATTAGAAAAAATTTAATCACTGAAGGGGTTATCAGGCACTGGAATGGGCTGCCCAGGGAGGTGGTTTGAGTCACCAGCACTGGAGGTATTTAAAAGATGGGTAGATGATGTGGCGTTTAGGGACATGGTTTAGTGGTGGACTTGGCAGTGTTACGTTTACAGTTGGACTCGATGAGCTTAAGGGTCTTTTCCAACCTAAATGATTCTATGATTCTATGAGATCAAAGTTTAGAGACAAGCTGAAGATCTTCCCCTGTTTTAACTGGGCTTGAGAAGATGCTGTTGACTTTAGTGAGGGAAAATGGGATTTTTGAAGAATTGCTTTATTTTGATTTGAATAGAATACAAGTGGAGAAATGGAATAGCACTTACCTAAAGAGAAATCGGACCCCGAAAGGCAGAAAACCTCACTTTTATAACACTTTTGGAGTGAGCCACTTTTTGGTGTTCTTTTTGAAGGCCCTCAACCCATACAGCTTTTCTTCAAGGTATGAATGAATGTTGCTTCCTCAGTGAATGAATGTACTACTGAAGCCAGCAAGATAGACCAACGGCTTAGGGAAGAAATCATCCTTTGTGCTCGTCTTTGAGTGGTGGAGGGTATGAAAACCAAAAGGGGAAGTGTTGCAGATAGGAGCCATATTGCGTATTTCAACAGTATTATGATATTTAGTATGAGTGCTGGAGACGACAGCAGTGAGTGAGTTGCTTTTTGCTCTGTCTAAAGGAAGTAGTAGGTTTTCCACAGCTGTTGAAAGCTTCTTTTCAATGTTGTCTTACTGCTGCTTCTTAAAAAAGAATGTGTATTTTATTATTCTTATCCAGGTATTAAAGGCTCAGGAGCTAAGACTCTTCTATTATTAGACCATTGTTGGCAGGAAAAATGAAATACAGATAATGCTATCAGGCATTTTCTGTAAAACTCAGGTATCTGGCATTGGCTATTAGAGTTATCCAAACACGGTATTATTCTTTGTTGCTGCTGACATTGTCACTAATTAAAACAAATAGTTTAAGATTTGTTTCTACTTTTCTGCTTGGAGAGAGATGAGTTGTCCTCTTCACCCAAGGCAAAAATCAGCATTTTATTGATCTTGTGCTTTGGTTTCTCTTATTTATTCATGTCACTTGTTTTCCATGGTAGTGGTTAGTGTCCGTTGCAGCCTACGCCAATGAGAGAAGGGGAGCATACCAAAACTTCTGTGCCACTATGTGTCATTCCTGTCTGTAGCGGACATATCTTTAGGGATGGCAGGAGAGTCAATGTGGGCATGAACGTTCTTAGGAATAACTATACTGTATAAAATGGATCATCTTTGCTTGAAGTCTGAGCACTTCATGGACGTTTGAATTAGTTCTGCTTAAACTCCTAACTTACGCTACTCTTTGCACTGACAAGATAAGAACAAAAGGAGAGATGTATCTTTCTATGTCGTATGTCATCTGTGAAATGTTTAACTAAGTTCTGACTGTAGGAGGAACACAACAGATTGATTTAAGAATGAGTTTTCTTACATAATTAAAAATACCAAATGTGTGCAAAAATCAGAGACAAGCTGTACGTATTCAATATCATTTATACAGTCAGTGTTTTGAAAGCTGATGACATTGACAGTACTACTTGCACTGGTCTTCCACAAAGTAGTTTTCTGCATTTTTTACATTCTGTTATTATCCAAAAGGCAATTTTTACTTAAAGGCTATTTCAAGCTACAGAGATTATACTCTGATCCACATCCTACCTTTATCTACAGACTTAGGGACGTGGTTTAATGGTGGGATGGCAAGGTTAGGTCAACGGTTGGATTTGATGACCTTAAAGGTCTTTTCCAACCAAAATGATTCTATGATTCTGTTCTGTCACTTGGAGGTGTTCATGTTCATAGTCTTGATTCTTGTCCATGTCTGGTTTTACTGAACTCCTAATTATCCTTTGTCTTCATTGATGACTTCGGTAATACCGTAGTGAATGGAATTTTTGACATATTTTGTAACTGACAGAAGACATAGAAAGCTATTCTAAATGACTTCTTCGGAAGAAGACCATAAAATTTGAATTACCTTAAGTTACCTTCTTGTTTGTATGTTTATGAAATGTAAAATACAGAAGCTGAGGACAGGAGATATATATATAAATATATATATAAAAATAAATAAAAGGTTGTAGACAGCTGCTTGAACTCTTTAGGAAAACTGGCACTTGTAGATGTGATTAAATGTCTTGCCAAAGAATCAACTATGAAAAAATATGTCTGTTTTATAAATTGCAAAATGGCAGTGACAGAATCAAAATGTACTCCAGAGAGGGCTATAGTTATCACATACAGCCTTAAAAAATTACCTGGTGTTTTTAATTTTTTGTTGGTTGTTTTTTAATACAGAGGTAGGTACTGCCTGGTTAGACCTGTTGACACACCTGAATATAGAGAGCTGAGATAAAAAAAGTTATGCCTTTTATAAGAGCACATCAAACTTCCCACCAGTCTGAAAAAATGTAACAATTAATTAGTGATGTCCACCAGCTAACTGCCATATGGAGCAAGGCATATATTATGGGAAAATCCTTTCATGAGTGAGAATATATTTAGCTTTCTGTAAATCTAAGTAGGATCCAAGATGCTTCTTTCTAGAACAGATGCAGTCCCACAATGGATGTGATACAACATTCGCTCTTGGGCATAGCTGAGATACAGAGAAGAGCTAATAACGGCCTGCATCCCGTGTAAAGCAGGCAACACATTTAGAGATACAGATTTGCAAACATTTAATTTCCTAATGAAATAAAACTACAAAAATGGCAGTAGGCAAGAGGACAGCCCTGTGTGAAATTTCATTGGAGGAGAAGGACATAGGAAACACTGTCCAGCTAAACGAAGGACTGTAAACAAGTTTACAAGATGAATATGGGGATTTAAATTGCAGTCACTGTTCAAATTTCCTATTCTGTGTCAACAGCATAGCAGGTAATGGCACGAACTGAAGATCCGTAGTTTTGGCAGCATTCGCATCGTAGTCTCAGATGTCATCTCCGTGGAACATGTTTGTTTCCCATGGTTATGTTTCACAGTAGAGTGAATAATGTGAAAGTGGAGGCAGCAGCTGTGGAGCCTTACTTGCTACTTATCCAGCAGTCTCCCGTCAAAACACGGGGTTTAGCACAATAAAGTTTGTTCTCTTACGCTCTGTGTCAGGCTGTTTGTCAGTGAGGTATGTTTAGCTGAACATAACTACCCAGCCTCCCGTGCTTCCCCGTGTCTGTTTGGTTGAGTCACGCCATGACTGACACAGAGACACATTAGTGGGAGGATTGTTTATGAGAAAAAGGAAAACAAATTTGACACTTGAGTTTACCAGGAAAGTTGTTGCGGGAGCACAGATGCTCATTGCTGCTGAATACGCATAGCCAAGGTCAGGGAAATCTGTCAGGGAAAGCAAAGCGGCCTTGAAGCAATTCGGTTTTTTAACCGTCTGGCAGAGGAGAGCACACGTGAAATATGGTTACAGCTGAGCAGAGTGCTGCCCTCCTTCCTCTCCTCCCTTAGGATTGCCTAATCCCCTTTCCTCATACCAGGCTCTAATTGGACATTGCAGAGCATCCTTCCCTCCCACCTTCCCGTCTCCTCTGTGGGTTCTCCGAGGGACCTACAGCTCCTCTTTTCTAGGTCCTGGTGACACTGACAGCGGCAGCCAGCCAGGCTTGGACTAAATGTCCCTTTCCGATGTCCTTTCGCTCTCCCTTGCAGTTGTCGTGCTTGCACCTTTTGTGTTTTATGCTTCTCTGCATGAAGAAGCTGTGGAGCAGGCCTGGTCAGCACAAAAGTGCTGACACATGGGGAACCTGGTAAACCTCTTAAGGGTAATTTAAAAATGTACATATTCCTGTGCTGTGGGTATGGGAGGTCCTGTGGCAAAAATTGGAAAGGGAGGATTGTTCGAGCTGAGCTGGGCTGTGCGGTTAGATAATACAGTTTTGAGAGAAGAGTAAAAGAGAGAAAGATATTTCGAAGGGAAAAGAGAGAGAAGACTGAGTCTTCCCTGAGAAGACTGAAGAAAGAATATAAAAAATAATATAAGCTGTAAAAGGGTGGGCTTTCAGATATAGCAGTTTCTTGAGTAAAGAGGAAAAAACTATAGGAAGACAGAGAAAACGCACAAAAGGAGCAACTATCGGAGTCCTGTGGGGAGAAAGAATGGGGAATGTTGTAATAGGTGAATGCAGAGGAGACTGGAGATCGAAGTCAAGAAAAACAGATTAAAGCAAGAAAGCAAACCAGAAAATACATTTTTAAGAACCAGAAGGAGACAGGAAGGGAAAAAGTGGAACCTCCCGCTCCTGCCAAACAGAAGGGGAAGTATGCGGTGACAAAGATGAAAAAGATACATGTATTTGCAGAATAGATGGAAAGAATGGTTTATATGATGAAATGGAAATGAAATGAGGGGAAGGAAATTCATGTTCGTGATGAAACACAATAGAATCCTTTCTCTGATTTTTCTCTGGGGCTGCTAAGTCCTGGAAGAGCTGTGATTCCTGCTCTGTCTGAATGATACTCCTGTGTCTTTCTGTTAGGGAAGGTGCTTGAAGGAAGAAGTGCTGTGTTTTGGTTGAGTTATCCTTTGTGAAATCTGAAACGTGAAATTAAATGGTAGAGATGTACCATCTGCTGTTGCTTAATATGTGAATAAAAGCTACTGTGTTTGGGCAATGTTTATGGCCGTGATAAGAGCAGAAATAATGCAAACATTATGTCGGCTACACCCAGCAGACCCCTCATTGACTGAAGCATCGCATTTCGTCCTGTGTCTCAGCACTGTCGAACATGATTCCTGGAGGAGGTTGAGCATTTCCTCCTTGGCAAGGGGGCTGAGTGTTTTATGTCTGTGTTTTTCTCATTCCTTTTAGGGATCTCTTGCTGTCTGTGGCGCTTGGCCAGGTACTCTCCCTCCTTATCTGTGGCATTGGTCTCACGAGCAAGTATTTGTCGGAAGATTTCCATGCCAACACACCTGTTTTTCAGAGCTTCCTCAATTACATCCTTCTATTCTTGGTCTACACAACAACACTGGCTGTCAGGCAAGGTAAGTGCCTCTCTGAAACTGTTTTGTAGAAAACAGCGAGGATAAAGGCTTTTGCAGAACAACAACAAGCAATGTGATTTAGACATATATCCCATTAACATTTGCTACATATTTACATTACTTAGTAATACATATTGGGTAAACTAAAAAAACCCCAACAAGTCTTCATTAGCAAAGAATGAGGAAGTAGGTACCGAGGGTAGTGGTACAAAAAGCAAAGCAAAAAAGGAACTTCAGTGCTTTTCACTTCCTAACTGTTTTCATGAGAATGCTGCTCTTTCACCCTCCTCCCTGGCACCACAACCACAGACTCAAGGTTCACTTTGGATTTGAGTGCATGTCTGTCTTGGAAATGTTAGTGTGCATTGCATCTTACGTAGGCTAGGGAGAGCTCAGATGCAAGCAAAGAAGAGCTTGCTAGTTTTAGTTGCTGATCAAGGCAATTCAATAGTTCACCTGTTGTTAGAAAAAAATAGCATCCAATTTTTAACCATTGGGAAGTAGGAGATAAAGGGAGGGAATTCGAGGTGCTGTGTGGGCAAAGCAGCTCTGCAGTCCTGCCACTGCTTTGCAACAGGACCTGTGCAACCAATCTGACCTCCAAAGTGAAAAATATATTATGGTATGCTTTAGTACCGTGTATCAAATGCTCCTCTGTTTGACAGCCTATATATAATATAAGGAGTTTTGTGCCTTTCCTGCCCATCCCTCCCTTCTTTGAGATTTCATGTCTAGATGAGATGTGGGAGGTGAATGCATTTAAGTACATTTCTCACCCACTCTTTTTTTGGTAATCGTTTTATTTATTCACCTTCACAGAACACATGGATTAGAAGCACAATAAAAGAGCAAAAATATAATGTGCTTTCCTGACTTGGCTCTCTTGACATAGGGAGGAAAAGACCTACAAAATGTATTAGGCCATGGTACATTTATTAGCATACTGAGAGGTTCACGTTTTCTTACAGGAACAAATATTTTTGGATTGTTCTTTCATGTCACATCTTTTAATGATTTGGGAACAACCCTGAAGCTGAAGCTCTTCACTCGTAGTACAGTCTTGTGATACAGTACTATAAAGTGTTCCAAAACAGCAAGGAATTCATTTCCATGCAAAAATTGAACAGTCAGAAATATACCACTGTGCTCCAGCACAAAGTGCTTAAATGTATTACAACTTAAGTTTTATAGACGTTGGTCTCCAGAAGCGATGAAGGCCAATCTGCGGAGGAAGTGTCAGCTCTTGTATAATGAGAGATTGCTCAGGCAGTGCTTCGCTGTCTTGGTTTTTCACTTTGTGTAGGGGGAAACATCACCACATGCTTTGCTCTGCAAAAGGCTTAAAACGTTTATTAGTAGCATCTTTCTGGAGAACTGTGTTTAAAAATAAATCTTCTGAGTGTAGGATTGCCTAGATGTTCACAAGTTCTGTCCCAGAAATGTCCTTCTTGGGACTGATTTAGATACTTGGAAGCCAAGTCCCTATGATTTTTAAATAGATTTTACTTTTTTGAAAATGCTAGCTTTTGAAAGGATATATGGGCCAGCATACTGCTGTGCATTACAGGGGTTTATTTAGAATAATGTTTGACACCTGGTATATATCGACATTTCAAAAATGCAACCAGGCACTCTGTTTTACACATACAAAAATATGTATTAAAACTGTAATTTATAAATAATTTTCTGACTCTGTTTAAAAATGTAGTGGTGGACTAAAGAGAGTTTGTCAGAGCTATCTGTCGTGCCAGTAAGATAGGTTTGGGAAGCAAATGGGGAAACTGTTAGGGATATGTGAGAAATATTTTCTGGACAAGAGGAGGGTTGGGGAAGGTGTTTGAAGGGGCCTGTGCTTGAATACGGACCATACAAACAGCCAGAGCAGAACGTAAAGCACACCCATGGAATAGTCTGGAAAAAGAGCTGTCAAAAAAAAGAACGATGGGTTTGATCCAAAAAAATCTAGAACAAAATTGTCTACAGAAGCAAGAAAGTAGTGATCCAGGCACTCAGCATAACATTTCTGCTGGGTGGTATAGCACTACGCAGCCAACTCATTTACTCGGCATTTAATATTGCCAAGCGATTGAGCCTGACATTGTCTTTTTGCTTGTGTATTTATTCAAATTCATTATCGGTGTTTGTTCCACTAAGGCAGTTTTTCTAGCAGCTCTAATCGTTTGGCTTTGTTAACAGATGGAAATCACATAATAATGATATTAATTTTATATGGGATGATTCTGTTCTGAGTGCTGAGAACATCAGAAGGCTTTTTTTTTCGAGTGTGGTTCTCCTACTCTGTATGCAAGATTTAAGGTTCTTTAAATTATCTTCTTTCTCCTTCAGAAATCAAACCATCATAAGTTAGCTGGTAGTCAAAAATAACTCCATGCCTTTGTCTTTTTCCTTGCTTGCTTTCTTAATCTCTGGGTTTTTTGCAGAAATGTACTGGCTAAGGAGGTGTCATTTGAGGTGGCAAAAAAACCCCTTAATTCACTGTAGGACTGAAAACTATAATTTCCTGAGACATAAGGAACTCTTCTTTCTTTAAAAGCTTCTTCCAAATTTTGATTTACTGTGGATCCCCTTTGGCTTAGCCTTCCTTCGCTGTTCATCTTCTCACCCCATATAAACTCCCTGAGTGATAATGAAAAGGTAGAATTTGCACTGATGTCTGAAAATCATCATTAGCTGATGATTAAAGCTCCTGATTCCTGAGCTCTTCTGACTAAAGCCTTCCGCAGCAAATGCCGAGCTTCCAGCAGCTAAAGTTAGTCCATGGGCCCAGCAGCTTTCACTATACTTCAGATGCTTTTTTCTAAAATCATTTTATCACAGCCCTTTAGTGGTGCAAAGAGTAGGACTACCACCTTGCAATGAATCCACATGTCATCAGGTGCACAAGTCCTGCAGGTGCCAGAATCTGAGTACTTTTAAGCCTCATTCCCATGGTGAAAAAAAAAAAAAAAAAAAAGAAAAGAAAAAAAAAAGAAAAAAAGGAAGGAGAAGCTTGTCCTGTAGCTCTAAATGGGGAACCAGCAGTAAAAATGGACTCAACAGGTTTAAGCAGTGAAGTCCGTACGAGTAAGGCTTTTCATGATTGTTGCAATTTTGTTCTCATGACCAGAAATAAAAAGTGACAGAAGTGTTAAAGGAGATCTGTTCTTGTGAGATTTTCATATGAGCCTTAAAACATGGATACTACTCAGGCAGAGGCCATGAAAAGGGAAGGAATTTGGCCAAAGTGATGCAAAATCCAACCACCTTTTCTATCAGTTGAACTCTAAATCATGAACCCGGTATCTAGAAAACTCTCTCCTTTATTCCAGATATTTTAATGCTAATTTTAATTTTTTTTTTGTTATATGTGAATTTAAGTTGAACTTACTGTTTCCCTGAAGAGGTGAGTGGAGAGGTTCTTCACAGTTAGGAACTCACACGCTCAGGAATGCATAGACGCCAGTAGCCACTTACCCACAAATACGTATCCACTAGAGCTTCCAGTCCAATGCTCATTAATGCACCAGTGCTGAGGTCTGAATATAACTATTTAGGAGTTTTCTTTGTATCAGAACAATGCTATAAAATTAATGTCACTGTTGCAGCATTATAAGGCAACAAATGTAATTGTTTTCTAGCTGGCTGATATGCCAAAAATTTAATGGGTAATAAAGACCTCCTCAGTTCTTTCTCTTCAGGTAACTTCCTCTCATGCCTGTTGTTTTCACAGCCAAAACCTGTATTTGTCCATGGTAACACCTCTGAGTTGAGAAGAAGGTTTTAACACATATTATCTCAGCTCAGTCCCTTCGTCGGCAGAGGATTCTGCTTAAGAAAACCTTGTCAGGACACTTCCAGATACTCCTTTGGGTTGTCCGTTGTTATTAATTGAGGAGAAGAAAAGCAAGGCTATCAGGAAGAACAGCCTCCTATCAGTGAAATGGAGCTATGGGACGTAGAGCTGGTGGAGATTAGTTTTAACACCTTAAAAAGCAGTAAGTGGGAAATTGTCCATAGTGGACCAGAAGGTGTTAATTACTAACAGTCAACATGGGTGCAAGCATCAGCAGCTTGCCACCAAAAATAAATTACTTCTAAAAGCCACCTCACATATGCTACAAATGAAAACAACACATCTACTAGACATCATTAAAAAAAGAAAAAATATGAAACTGCTATTTTTTCTGTTATTCTGGAAAACAAGAAATGAGGGAGCAGTAGAGATGTCTTTTGAACAGAAGGGAACCGTAAAGCCTTAAGGGCCAGGTTCTGTGCAAGTAGCGCTCCACATTGCAAGCTGTTCCTTTAATTTTAGTGCAACAAGTTACTGAGTATTTTCAGCCCACTGTTACTGAGGGCTGGCAGTAATTTGCTAGTTCAGAAAAGCTTTTACGAATCTGTGTATGTCTGGATGAATTCTGCTTCTAGGCTAAGTGATAAGGTTATAGCATATGTCAATGGAAATATGGTTTCCCCTAGAGTAACTGCAGTGCCTTAGATTTGACATATAATCAGACGTGATCTGTGCCCCTGAGTCAGCTAGAGACTCCTGTGAGACTATTAAGGATTGCCGTCCTGTTACTGAAATATTATTTTTATGCATTTCTCTCTAGGATTGGTTTATGACATTAGTATCTTGATCATATGTAAATTCCTGATTTATCTGCTGTTCAAATATGTAACTCCATTTAGATTCATGAAGAAAAACCCTACCTTAACACCCTTCCTAATTCCCCAAAATTGACAGGAACAGGCTATTTGAAGGACAGTAGAGCACTTTATAGGAGTTGGTCTGGTTTACTGTGGTGCTTGTCAGCTGTTTATTGAATGATAGAAAGGGTAAATGTCTTTTTTTTTTTTTTACTCAATTTCATTCCACTATCAATCAATGTTGTATTAGCACAACACTGGTATTATGCACTTAACTTAGGTAGATGTACCAGAATTTCTTTGATGTTAACACCTGTCTTTGTTGACTGCCCATAAGAACATGCCTGGGA